TTTTAATGTGATGTACTGTTATACATACCGAGTTGGATATGAACTAATGCTGCTGTCTTGTCAGAGGTCAGTGCCCAGATATTCAGCTCCTCCACTGACTGGACGTCCTCCAGTTTCAGCAGGTCCTCTTTGATTCGATCACTGTCCAGATGTCTTGGAACACCTGATGTGAGTGAAGACTCACGGTTATTACAGAGCCGGTTTGTGAAGAATAATGTACAGTCATGTGACGGGAGAGGAGGCAGAGACTCACCTTCCAGAACGATCACTACCGTGTCCTTCATGATACGGAATGTGGTGATGAGAACTAGAACAGAGAAGATATAGGTGCAGATGGGGTCTGCCAACTTTAAGTCCGGCTGTGAAGACATGACAGAAAGAAAAACACACGCCTATGAATATACTGTACTGGTTAAAAAACATACTGTGGTTCACTGTGATACACTGTAATACCATATTTATGACTCAATACTATGACTGAGACTTAAACAAATACATCATTTCATTCAAATTATTTTTAAAGAAAATAATCACATCTGGTTTCCTAGTCGGTTCCGAAGTGCAGCGGCTTGCCTCGGAAGCAGAGACCAGTCCTGGGTTTGATTCCCTGAGGAACCACATACTTGGCACCTGCCAGGGAGCAGGCTGTTGCAGCAGATCTGCTGCTAACACAGGAATTTCCCAAATATGGTATCAATGAAGTTCAAATTTTTTTAAAATTTATTTTTATTAATTTCTGGCACACCAGCAACTCTGATGCACACTCAAGCCCAGTAGGTGGCAGTAATGCAGCGAAAGTTCACTTGCCAGCCAGAGGATGCCTTGAATGAATTGAGTGATGGAAGTGCTACTTTATTTGGGTGTTCTTAAACAGCGCTAATTGCTTTTAACGATTACACATACTTCCATAAGCTGTCAGGTAATCACGTTTGGCAAACTGCTTTTCTCAGAAGTGGCGGTACCTTAAAGCGGACGATGTAGGCGGCGATGAGCACACCCACACTCTGGAGGAGGTCTCCCAAAGCGTGTATGAACGCTGCTCTGACCGCCAGGCTGCCGTGTGGCCTCTGAGGATGACCCGATGCATGGGGCTCTGTGTCCACAGCAGTTGGGGGGCCGTGTGAATGACCGTGGCCGTGAGAGTGGACGTGACCTCCTTGATTTAACAGGAAGCCCATTCTTCAGACAGATGAAAAGAACAAAGGTGGAGTCAACTATAAATAATAATAAAATAATTGGTACGATAATCAGTTAATCAATTCATTAAGTAGAAACATTTTCACCCAATTAAACAATGTAATTGCAAATAACTGTCTACTTGTGGCTTTTCATGAACCTTATGACACGTATGTACGGAACAGTTCTAATTGATAGAACAGCAAACAAGATAAACTGCATTTCGTGTCTTGAACTGTTTTATTTAAACAACGTCGGTTGTTAAACAGTTCACGACAGGATGTCAATGTGTCTTTACTTAAGTAAAGTTAATTAAGTTAAGTAACTATCTTTAATTAAGATAGTTTCTCATCCCCGCCAGTCAACTCCACTCCCCAAAATCAAACTTTTCTAAAATGTGTCTTAATAAAAATATAAAATTGTTAAATATTGTAGCAGGATAAATGTCCAGCTGAACTTTTATAGAACAGGATAAAATGTCTTCATTTTTCACATTGGGCACTTTGGTTAAAATGTTTTTGTCTGGTTAAGTCCACAAAATATGTCACAGTAACAGATCAAAGAAGGAAACATTTCAAAAGGTTAAAAAAAACTACAGTGAAAGGGAGCTGCAGTTTTTGTTACACTTTTGGTCTCATTTATTATGAAGACTTTGTGATGAAAATTACATTTGTATTCTTTGTAGTCGAAATATACACTTATTGACTCCTCATTTTCCACGATGCCCTCACTGAAAAACTGCAGTTATTTATTACTCAGCATCAAATTCTTGGCTCTAGAGTGCAGGCAGCACTTTGTACTTGTACCCTGAGCACATTTGGAACTTATCCAGACATGGATCCATGTCTTAAAAAGAAACATTGTATACAGAGATCTGGACTTTATCCTGCTGAGACCCGGAGAGAACACCAGAGGATTCAGTCCTCCAGTCTGTCACAGGGCCACACATACAGATCAACCACCATTCATGAGCTCTTTACTCACATCAGGTTGACAGCCACTCCAACAGCAGCAGTGATGAGCATGACATCTCCATCGATGTCAAAGTCCTGGTGGACCGTCCTCTGAACTGCCTCATAGAGCAGAACGGCTGTTAAAATGTAGATGAGCAGCACACTGACGACGGCAGACAGCACCTCTGTGGAAATAAAAGAAAATCACAGTCCTGTCAATAAATTATTCACTTATAATTATTATTATTATTTTTATACCTTTTAAGAAACCTCTGGACCCCCTCCACCTCCCTCCTCAAAGATCTACAGGCTAAAGTGGAACATTTCTCTAATGCTAAAAGACTTTTGTGGTAAAGGGATGTTTACACAAATCTCTTCAGAATGAATCAGTGTCACGAACGATGACACGTCGGCAAACACTCAATCCAGACAAACAAATTAAACACATTTAAAACAATAAGCCAGTGACAGAAATTGTAATACTTATCAACACCAGGTTTACCAAAGTCCAGAAACGTTTGTCAACTTTTTGAGTTGAGGCTTCAGTTTTCAATAAGGGGAAAAAAATCAGCCAGGCATCAACCACAACATCTGCTTTCGGAATCATTTTGTCGTGGATGCAAAAATGTATTGGGTTTCCCCCCCCCCCAGAACATTTGGCTTTTGCTTTCATTTGCTGTGGGGTATGGTATTACATGGCCATGTACATCATGTCAATATATTCACGTGGACAAAATCTAAACCAGTGATGATCAACTGGAGGACCATGGGCCGAAGGTGGCCTCCCAAATTGTCCAGTACTGGCCCTCGGACAAATGTAGTTGGGGACCACTGATCTAAACCTAAAGACTGACAACTGCTGACAGAAAAATTAGAGATTTTAATTCATGAAGTCTCATTGGAGGATTCAAAAATGGTGGCTTGGTTTTTTTTTGCCATGACTCTGAATTCCTACTGGTTGGTGATGTTCTGGTCACTGCTTCTCCAACGTCAGTTGTTACAGTTATTCTATAATCTGTTGCTGTGCACAACAATATAACAATATATGAACAATATAATGTGTGTGGTTCCTGTGAGGGGAGAGCCTATCCTCAACTGTACAACATCCAGACACCGTTCTAGGGTTGTAGTTGCTCTCAGCCCTGATTTGCACAATGTGGGTTTTGTTTTTGGACACGGCAGTGCCGCCTGCACATCTTGTTAATTTTTATGGTCAACCAATCAGACTTCACAGGTAAGGCATAGTACAACGACATAGAGGTTTTATCTTCTCAGTACAAACAGAAAAGAGTCCATAAAAAAGTGTAAAATTTACAACTGCCTCATGACATGGAGAACTACAAACCTTATCAGTCCAGTTTCAACGTCAAAGTCGCTCGATTGCATAAACATATTGATTTACTAAGCTGTTGTTTGAGGGGCTTTTCTCCCAGGCTGTTGCCAGACGACCTGCTCTGTTTGACTGTTTACACAAAATTTATTTAACTTAGCTACGGGTGACCGACTTGTCGTATGCGTCCTACTGGGACACTGGAGAATCCACCTGCTGGTTCAGTGTTATTCCATACCACCCCTGACTGTTTACAGTGTTTGGAAGACAGATTAAATGTTCATTCACGTGTATATGTCTAACCAAATGTTAAGAATAACGTCTGTAATCCGACCTGGGTCGGACACTGCTGACTAAGCACTTCTCTGGCCGCCTCGAAACAAAACACAGCAGAGAGAGAGAAAAAAAGGAGACAGGGGGAAGAGGGACTTTACCCAGGCGGTGCAGTCCAAAGCTGAACCTCTTGGTCGGTGGTTTGTTGGAGAACCACAGGGCCAGCAGAGAAAACAAAATGCCCACAACGTCCGTCAGCATGTGGACAGCGTCCGTCATAATTGCTAGGCTGTTTGATACATAACCACCTACAGAAAAAAAAAGAAAAAGACAGATGACTTATCAGAAATTATAAACGACATACAATGACTATTTACCCCTTAAACAGAAGGCATGAGTCAGTTCTACCAAAGCAAGAAATATTCAAATTCTAGTACTTTGTATGTTGACAGTAGTATGTAGAAAATATGTACACAATAAAGATAAAAATATATACGAATACAAAAAAAGTAAACATAGAGGTTGAAATGTGAAGAATATTTTCAATTGTTTTTAAAACAGAAGGAGTGATAACACAAGAAACTCTCCATGTTTGGACGTTAAGATGAGGATCTGGGCTGTTACTGGTAAAAGATGACAGTACTGCAACAGTACTAAAGACAAGCTCATCAAGTTTCAAGAACTGGATGGTGCAAAGTCTTTATCAAGAGATGAACGCGGTGCACAACACCACTGCTGGAACGATCAGATAACGGCACAGACTCCGTCTCTAACATTCATTACAGCGTCGCAGCTGTCGTTGTTGAAGAACAAGAAAAGAAAACAGCCTTAAATGCTTCTGGAACAACCTGTACCCCAGGTTGTTCTAGGAGGGGCTGAGAATGCCTCCAGTAACAACATGGAAATAGATGCACACTGGAAAATATGACTTCAAAATAGATGCACACTGGAAAATATGACTCTGGGTCAGACTTCATTTCATTAGACTTCTTTGACTTTAATTATGTTGGGTGTAAGTGTGTAAACACAGCTGTGCTTTAAAAAAAAATAAGAGGAGAAGAATTAGAACAAGAATAGAAAGAGGAGGAGAGGGAGGAAGAGGAGGGGGAGGAGGAGGGAGAGTCAGCAACAATCCTACAGCTCTGCAATCATAACAATCATACAGCATAGAGATGCACTGATTCACTGGCCAGAGATCAGATCAGATCATGATTGGCTCTGACTGGAAACAGTCCAGGTCAGCACACGCATTTCTACTTTTGGAGCCAATCATTTTGTGCGTGTGTCACTAACTACAGCATCAACAACAACATCCTTATTTTTCCGTCAGATGAAGCATTGCTAGATCTCTTTCAAGTCGTGCTGTGCTAGATTAGCATCTTGCTGCGGGCTAACTCTTAGTTTTGCACTAATGACAACTGGATAAGTAACTTCAGTTTAACATCTGTGGATTTAACTGCTCAGTGGACAGACACAGACTATTTGTCATGGATTTTGTCATGGATTTTGGCTGAGACACAGACTATTTGTCATGGATTTTGGCTGCACAGGAGTGAATAAGATAACGCATGCACTTTATTTTAAAAGTTTTGAATTTTACTTTTTGTATTTGTCAGCAAAAGGCAGCGGGAATCAGCAAATCCCACTTACCAAAGTATCAGGAATTGCAATCACAATCAGGGGGATCTCAAGTACTCAATGCACTAATTTGTTTTGAATAAACTCTCTATGAGCAGTTAATCACTCAGACCACAACAGCTGGTACACCACGATCAGGTGATCAGGTCACACACTATCAGCAGTCACCACCTTCTCCATTCTCACTAGGAGCCACTGATTTCCGAAGAAAACAAGGTTCCTGTTTGTCATGTGGAAAAACGTCGACGTAACTAATGAGAGGATTCTGACCGGATGTTTCACAGAGAGCAGCTGAAGGAAAACAGTGTTCTCCACTCAGAAACAGACACAGAGTTGTAGAGTCGAAACCATGTTGCTGAAGACTCTTGACTAAGCATTTCCAATCAGTAATTATAAATGCTTATTTGCATAATTTAAAAATAAATAAATTGGATTTTTGTTTGCAAATCTGATTGGCTGTCAGGAAGGTAAAAAAAAAGCTCTGAGAGACAAAGGAAAGCGTACCTATGATTTCTCCTGTCATAAAAAGGATATAAAGCACCGCTGCAATGACGAGCCTCTTCATCACCCTCCTTTGTTTGATCAACTCCCTCTTCTTGGTGCAGTTGTCACAGGGGTCCATGTTCAGTCTGGGGCTCCCCATGTTAGAAGAGGAGTCCAACAAGGAGTCGTCATCTTCGTCCGCCGCCACCACCATAGTGTTGACCGCCACGCCGTTGGACGGTGCCCCTGCAGAGTAATCTGACATCTCCCCAGACACCACCACCTTCAACTTGTTAAACTTGGGGATCTCATCCTCCACCAGCTCATCGGAAAAGTCAAAGGGCGCCGAGTCGCTCAGGTCCCAGTCGCTCCGCTCTCTCCTGAACACAGAGCGCACTTTGCTTAGGATATTACCGCCTGACATCTTTGACAATCACGAGGACCTTTTAAAACCAGCTGAGTTCACTCTCTAGTCTGCCTTCCTCTGAGGTAATCATTCATTTTTGCAGCAGGTTGGTTTCCACTGTGTCACCTGCAGCAGCCACAGAACAGAAAGGTAGACAAATTGTACTTGTTAAGAATTATAGCAGAGAATTTTAGAATTGATTTAAAAGTTGTGATATAGGTTAATACATCTTTTTAATAAAAAATAAAAATTAACCAGCAGGAAGTTTGAAAAACAGTCCACAAAAGCTTTGTGTCAACCAGGGTTATACAATGTCAGAAGGTTACTGATATACCCAGGAGCCAGTTAAAAGTGGCTCCTGGGTATATCAGGAAACATTCTGAAATTCAACTCTAAAATAAAATAAATATCATCATGCCTATACAAAATAAAGTTTTTTAGAGAGTCTTGATTATACAGTAGGCTGTTTAATATGGGAAATGATGACATGACAATGATGAGTATTGACTAATAAATGTTAATGTACATATATTAAAAATGTATAAGTATATTATATGACGCGTGATCCGCCTAAAATATTTACATGAAGGTGTGGTTAAAACTACTGTCAGGAACACTAGAAAAAAAGTAAATTACACAAAAGAAAAACAGTACATTTTGAGTGTACAAATAAAATTTTACATGTAAAAAAGTGTGTTTAGTCAGTGGGGTTTTTGTCTTTATTTTTTGGAAGAGAAGTGAATCTTCTGTAACTCTCACGCTAAGCAGACTTCAGACCAAGTCAAACATCCTTTTTCTCTGTAGTCGGTGGCTATGATGCACTTTGACAGCCACTTCAAACCAGATGCTGGCGGTACAGGATGTCGGCCATGATTAAACCGACACAAGTAAAACTTCTATCCCCATTCTATTGTTGTTAGTTTTTTCTTAAAAAAAAAAAAAAAAAACAAAGAAGAGAAAAAAACTCCAGTATGCTTTAAACAGTATGTTTAAAATGACACTCCCCAGAACATTTAATCTACTTATTAAAAAAATACTTTAACTTTACAGTATAGTATTCGTTAAAATTGTAGCTCTAAAAAAAATCTTGTAAGATGAAAAAATTAATAAAACAAAAAAAGGTGATTTACACTTTGTACGGATCCATAATTTAACCGCGACTGTCTACAATTTGCGAATGTGAATGTAGGCGTGAAGTGAACGGTCACGGACAACTGTCATTAAAAGCTAAACTTAAGTTCTCAAAAAAAAAAAAACAGTATATGCGAAAGAGTGAAAAGCTAGCTAATGAGGGTTAGCCATCCTCTCCTGTCCCTGTCCAACTAAAGACAGTCTTTCTAAGTGATGAAGAGTGTTGAAAAATGTCAAACAGACTCACCTGCTCCGTTTGTTCCGCTCGAACGTGAATTGGGAGAGTTAGGTTATTAAATTTAGTATAGACATCTGAGTCCACACAGACACTCACTCACTAACACCGCCTCCACACCCGGAAGTCTCGGTAGCAAGTTTGGTGTCGCTGACAGTCACGTGATGACGCAAGAGTCACATGATGAATGCTCGTTTCAGCGACACATCGGCCTGATTTCTTAGTTTTTGGTCTACAAATATTACTTTTTTAAAAATCCGTCACTGCTCCTGTCACTTACTTGAACAGGTAGGATAATGTTGTAGATGAGAAAGAGTCTAAATAAAATGTGTGGTCAGTAGGTGGCGGTATAAGGTCGTGAATCTGCCAGGCTAATGTGTTTCCTTAGCAGAACATGGCGATGTTTTGATTAAAAAAACGTGTTTTTATTCCGCAGGATTGTTGGAGTGACGGTCACGTGTCTGTCCACATTTTCAACATCGTCCTAGTAATGACGGTCACGTGTCTGTCCACATTTTCCACATCGTCCTAGTTAACTGAGTCGCTGCCTATGGAGGTGGACGGAATGGAAAACGAAGGAGGCTTCGTGCAGGCTGAAGGTGTGTGTGTGTGTGTTTGTACTGCTTGTCAAGGAGGGTTTCTGGTCTGTTGAAGTGACAGTCTGGTTGTTGTTGTTGTTGTTTTCACTGTGCAAAAGTATCCACATGGTGAAAGGATCCAGTCAGCACTAAGATCCCTCAGGTTCTTACACAAAGATGCTGACTGTTTAGTTTCCACTGATGAGGCCACTGCTATTACAGGTCGATCACCATAAGACATCACAGATACGCCAATGGCATGCTTACCCAGAATGCACCTGTGTGCTCCCAAATACTTTTCTCACACTTTTATTTTTCTATATATACAATCTTAGAGGTGTCAAATATATGGCCCGTTGGCCAAAACTGGCCCGCTTGATGAATTCAGAAAATAAAACACTCACAAAGCGTGAGTATTGTAATATTGTATGAAAGTATTTTCTGACTGTGTGTTTCTGTGTCAGTTGCCTTTTCTTAGTCAGCAAACAGTTACTTATGCATCTAGTGGGAGTACACAGTGGTTTGAGTAACCTGTCAGAGGAGTTCACTGTATAAGGTGATGAAAGTAACATATTTGGGTTCTGTTGTTACAGAATGTTTTTGTACTTTTCATTGTCTTTTTTTCCCATCATTTTGCAAACTAAAAAAAAAACATACACATTTCTTTTCTGCAGACCTTCAGCTGCCACCGCAGGACTCGACTCATTTGCAACTTTCAGGCCCTGAAGATGTTCCAGTCGTGGATAAGAAAGCAGTGGAGAGACTGACAGAAGGATTTCTCTCCTACTACCTGCCAGATCTGCAGAACTCGAAACGAGCACTTCAGGAACTTACGTGAGTGTTGTACAGTATATATAAATATGCATACATTCTTACCTACTAAGGAGGCAAAAGGAAACTAGCAGCAATATTTACAAGTAAATGTAGTAATGAAATAGTTTGAAATGTTATAAAAATATAAATACGAAAAACACACTTTTAGGTCAGCAAATTTAACATTTTACATTAATTATATATATTTTCACATGAGCCGCTAGAGGGCACTCTAGGCTTGTGTACCAGTATCAGCCACTTCTGCAATACTGAAAATTTACATGTTCGTTATTTTCACACTGACAGCCGCTAGAGGGCACTGGTGCGACTAATTCTGCCGAGCGACATATATGTTTTTTTTTCTTCATTATACATTTTGTGGCTGGTGCGACATAGTCCGGAAAATAGCGTATTAGTAGTAAATACATGTGCCTTTTCTGTATACAAACCTAATCTTTGTGACCAAATCACAGCTGAACTGAATCATTGATTGTCCGTCTCAACCAATCCAGACAGAACCAGCTGATTTTGTTGGACACTCTGGACCAGGAAGTCACCAAGTTCAGAGAGTGCAACACCATACACGACTTGAACTTACTGGTAAGTTCAAACTGCCTCTCAGTCCAGTTCAGAAGCGCTGGTTTAATGTCGCAGCTGTAACCACCAGAAATGTGTTTTAGTTCACAGAAGCGAAGGTTTATCACAATAAACTGGTGACCATTAGGAAGGAGATGATCATGCTGCATGACAAGACAACCAAGCTGAAGGTAACGGCTGACGTCCGACACCAGTGACCAGGTGGACACGGTTGGATAAAACTGAGTAACAGCTGGTGTTTTTTTTTTTCAGAAACGAGCTTTGAAATTACAACAACAGAAGCAGAGGGAAGCTCTGGAGAAGGAGCAGCAGAGGGAGAAGGAGCTGGAGAGAGAACGGCAGCTCATCGCCAAACCTGCCAAAAGAACATAGACCTCTGAGAACCACGGATTCAAGAACGGTATCGGCACTTTGACGTTTGGACCTTATTTATTACATATCAAGAACCGCTTTTCAATGCACAAGAACTTTGTGTATGAGTTTGTCTTACATCGGTTTGACTTTGCAGCAAATGTTTCACAGGAAAGTTGTTAAATACAAAACTATATGTTTATGGTTGACTGTTTTTTTTTTTTTAAGCCTCACTGACAGTTGTCTGCTCTGATGTGTAAAGGTACCAACGGCTGTAACCATTATTAGTCATTTCCTACCAAAAGCTTCATTTCTCCTATTTCTGAGACAGGAAGGAGAATGAAGAAGTCCTGTTCTCTGTCAGGTCACTTGACTTTTATTCTTAAATAATTTACTAAAAATGACAACAGTACTTTAAGATGTTAAAATAATACATGCATTTTATTTGTTATTATATTTATACATATATAAATATATATGTATAAATATATTTATATATATTTAATGTCCACTCTTTGATTTGAATATTATCATTCTAAGTATTTTCTAAATATTTTATAATAAAAAATACTAATAAAAGAATGATTGATTTTTTTGAAGAAAAGTCATTTTCTAGAAGCCTGACTTCATCTTTCTTTTTTTTTCTTCCATTTTCATGATGAGACTCCTGGTTTATCCTCACACTCACAGTACAGTTGAACACATTGTGAACAGTAGTGTCACCTTTGACCTCTGAGCTTCATCTTCAGACCTTCAGTTGTGATGTGACCAGTATCAGCAGAGACCAAAGATGATGAACTGAATCATCAAATGCTGGGTTTCACTTCGTCCTCTGCCTGGTATCATGGCACAGAATGGAGAACAGGCCCAGAGGAGACTGTTAGTGTTCAATGTAACAAATCACTTTTTTTAAATCAGTCACAGCTGCAATAGAAGTGACTGACTCTGGTTGTGTGGCTCAGGAAAATGTGTCAATTGTTAGTCACTAACACACATACAGCAACTGTACGAAGAAAATATATTTTAAATGTGAACTAAATGTACCTGGATCAACAACAATAATAAAATAACACAGTATTTGTGGAGGAGATTGACTTTGTTATGAATGTGTGTTTGTGAAATCTATGTATACATATATGTATATATATAAATTGAGTATATACTATATATGTGTGTATATATACATGCATATATACACACATATTTATATATACATGTGTGCATTATATATCTATATAATATATTATATTATATCGATATAAATATATTTATATCGACATATATGTGAATACACTGTATGTATATGTGTTAATATATATACTCCATATAACTACATTGTCCGTTAATCTTTGGTTCATTTACATTATATCCCACTAGGTGGCAGCAGAGACCTGCTTGTTTCAACGACGTATGTACATCTGCAGGACAATTATGAACTGAAACAGGCGACTGTTGACCAGCAATGTTGTACTGTGGTGGGCAATATGGTAATTAAATGATTAAATAATAGTCAGAACAATATGTGGAATATTTCTAATATATTAACACAGAACACAAGAAAGTGGTGAGGTCGACTATGGTTCTGAAAATGTATAAGTTATAATGAATTTATTAATTCTTTACCGACCATTAATTGGTTCAAAGCTGCAGGAGGTGAAGGCAACAGAGTTTATTATTAGATTTTTTTTTTTTTTTGATAGATTGACGAACTTCTGACGTGGATCCGTTTGGGGATTTAAGCTTCTTTAACGTCAATATGATCTGGTTTCTTTGCTTTTCGTTGACAGGAGACAAAAACATCTGAGAAGACTGTAATTTTGAGGTTTGGAAATCACCGATGCACATCCCAGTTGCATCCTGGATGTTAGTTAAGCGCAGATGTCACCGCAGAGGCAGCAGCTCGGTTGAGCTCAGTCACATGGAGGTCTCTTCACAGACCTACTCATCGGTACTCATTATTACTTTGAGTGGGGGAGGGGTGTTAGAGCGAGGATCTAAATCTGGGGTGTCAAAAAAATTAATGGAATACTACAAATATGCCAATATATAGGGGCTATATACTGGTGGGCCAAATCTAGTACATATTTGGTATGATCTCGAGGACAAATATAATGACACCGCGGATCAGATTTGGCCCCCGGCCTGAGTTTGACATATGATCTAAATCATGTGTCCCAAACGTTTTTTCTGGGGACCCGTATTTTAAAAGACAACCTTCAAGTCAATAGACATTATTCGTAAACTCCTGGGAAACATGATGGGAGACGACCCTAAAAATAAATCTCTTGTGACCCACCTGAGGGTCGCGACCCAGTCTTTGGGAAACAGTGATCTAAATTGTCCCTGATCCTTGATGGTGTTTCTCTCCTCCATCTACTGACACAAAGTCACTGGTCAACGCAGAGCAGAATCCTTCAGACCGACAGTCTCTTTGCATTTCATGCCTTTTGTCGACCAATCAGACACAGCGGACGTATTAAACGACGTTACATTCCACACTACCATGCACTTGGCCCACTCCCTTCTTTTCACATAAAGCTTTAATTCTATCTTCAATGCTGCTGCAAGAAAGTCGGTCAGAACCAAATCGGCTCAGCCCCCCCTGCCCTCCCCCAACGTTTAGAAAAGGAAGTCCACCACAGTGTGGACAGCGAGGCCTCCAGATTTAAGAGTTGAGGGGCGACCGGACCAGGACTGAAGGCCAGAACTTAACGTCTGTGGTACAGGAGAGACCGCACTTTTGAAAATAGTTCTAAGTACTGTACCTTGAGTCTGTGTTAAATATAATGACTCCATACATGGACGTCCTGCTCTGCCACGCTCATTAGTATCAGTCGCTCTACAGAATCTGGGTCAGTACTATGTCAACACCATAAAACATCTGCAGCTCAGACGGCACTGTCATAGCAGTAATTCATACTACATACTACACGTTAGTACTTCATATCGAGTAGACTCGAGGTTTGGAAAACCTGCACATGGCTAGGTTTTTTAGCATAAAATTTGAACCTTTGTAGATTTGTTTTTGGAATTTGAACCTTTGTGGATTTGTTTTTGGGGTTTTTTTTTGGCTGTATCAGGGATGGAAGTATTAAAAGTCATAAAATTAAATAATATGAAAAAATGTGTAAAAGTTTTATTGATATTTATTAATAGACACAGATTCAAATTAATAATATAAAAACTTAAAAAAGAAATGTTTTAATGACATTCTACATCCTTATTTCTAGGCCAATTTAAAGTAGTATTTTAAGCAGTAGTATACAGTAATACTATAGTATAGGTATTGTACTAGAGCACAGGAAGAACAGCGTCCAGCTGGTGTCGAGTCCTTATAGTCCAGACTAAATCTGTCTCTGGTTTCTTCTCATAAAAAACTGTTATTTGCAAACAAATAATACTCACATACCACACAAACAGACCACACGGGGACCAACACACACTGGACACAAATACACCCGTCAAGACAAAGAAACGGAATAAAGACCCGGTTACAGAAAAAGATGCGAGTCGTCTGGAGTGCTACGTGCTAACGTAGGCTGGCACCGAGACCAATGTTGTGTTTACTGATGATCATTTATAGCAACAAGGACAAAAAAAACATAACAAAACAACTCACATGTTTTGGAGCCCACAGAGTTTTGTTTATCTATTTGTAAGTTTGTATTTTGAAGAGGGTGTAATGGAAAGATACAATTTAAAACTAGGTGTACAAGTAAATATGAATATTACTACGACTTCATAAAGTGTTTTGATCATCTCGTTACAGGTGAATCATTATCAACCTGACATCAGAGCAGAGGTGGATCAAAATGAGGTGCAAAATGTGACTAGTGGTCGGGTTGAGTATTGGTTAGATTTAGAAAAATGGGCAAAAAAAAGTGAATAAAATGCAAAAATGCATGAAACAGAAGGATGGACATCAGTCTTTATCATGTTACTGCAGTTGTGCTTCAAGAAAACTTCTTCAGAGCACTGAGGCATCTGATTGGCCTGTCGCCAGGCATTGCACTATTTTTAGGGCGCACATCATTTGGCGAAACCCAGTCATTGCGTCATCGGGTTTTAATTATTGGAGGAAATACCCATAATTATGCTAATATTGGCCGATATTATCGGCCGGCCGATATAATTTACCACTTTGTTAAAGTAAATATTATAGTTATTGTTATTATTATTATCAGTATTGTTATTATCATTCCAGGACGTTGTCTGAGTTCTCGTCTCTGTTATTACAGCAGGAGAGGTGGTGTGAGGCGCTGGCCGTAGAAGCAGCTCAGCGGTTTCTCCTCCAAGCATTTGGTTTTAACTTGCCTCTGCTTTTAGAAACTTGGCCGTCACGGAACACACAAACCCCCCCTCGCCAAAGCCACAAGTGAGTCACAGACATTGGGCAGCAGTTGATGATGGTGTAGCAGGCGACCTTCCTGTCTAAGTAAACAGTGATTCAGACTGGTGAGGAGTGGGAGGCTGTGGTCTGCATCAGACTGGCTACACACCAGCCCTGTCTCAGAGCCGCCAAAACAGGATACGGTCATCTGGCCCACACTTATAGCCTGGGTTGCATCATGTTATTATTCCCTCCAGGTTGTACAGTTCGGTCGTCCTGGTAGTGTTCACGCAGGCATGTGAAGAGATAGACGGATGTTCTGGAAAACACATCTCCCTGTGGTGTTTTTGAACCAGTGTGTTCTGAGTGAGGCTGGTTTTCCTTCTTAACCAGGACTTATATAACTCTTCATACGCAGATCAGTGACATGGACAGCATTAGTCATTTGTTTTTTTTTCTCAAATGCATGGAAATAAAATAATCTGCAACTCAAACTTCACATCACAGTATTTTAAGATAATTATAACTTTATTCAATGATTTTAAATATACAGAAGAAACTAGAGTTAGAAACTTCCAGAAGTCTGGTCTTCCTGCTGGGAAACCCATTCAGAACAACACACAAATTTAAAATCCAGTATTTCTGTCCACCACGACCTTTTTCATAAAGACTGAGACAAAATGACTGAGAAGAAGTGACCGGAGATTAATCATTGTCGAAATGTTTCACTGACAGAATATTACACATGGATGGTTCCAAAAGAGCAACCTGGAAGTTGACTATAATAAGCAACGATGCACCGGGTCGTGAACAAGGAAGGTTCTGTGTGCCATAAAATAAAACATAATAAAAACTAAAGCTGAATTTAGTATCAGATCCAAATGTAGTAACCTTGAACTCCTGGAAAACATTATGTGAGACAACCCCAAAAAAATATCTTACTACCCACCTGAGGGTCGTGACCCAGTCTTTGGGAAACAATGCTGTAGAGGGTGCGGGTTTCCTGTTGAATACTTCAAATAATAATAATAATAATAATAATAATAATCATAATAATAATAATAATAATAATCATAGTAATAATACACTATTGAACCATAAGCGGACACTATTTAACCAGTGCAATTAAAACATGGACCAGAGCATTCAAGTTATGTCACGCCAACATGTACACTGGCCCTATGTTTACCACCACTCTCATAGATTCCAGCACAAATGTTACAGTCAGAGCAACAGTCGGAGCAACAGTCGGGCCTCTACATCAAGTCATTCTCCGAGTGACACAAAAAGACTTGTCTGTTGTCGTGCGCTGGTGTCGTTGTTGATTTTCTGGGCCACAGACCGTCATGTTGTTGCTGCCCTGCGGGAAGGTTCTTCCTGAATCCACTTGCACTGCACGTAAACACAGACAGAGCGTGCGAACCACAGCCTTCACGGAGCTGTTTTCACGTCAGCGCCACCACAGGTGCAGCCCTCGTCTTCCCTCCATTTTTTTTAAAGGTCATCATTATTAAATCCAGTTCCTATGACAAAACAAATCGTCAGAAGGAGGGTTTTATGGAACTCATGTCTGGTTTCACGGGCTCCTCGCTGCCTGTGGTCAGAACGGTAAAAATAGAAACAAGCGGAGGCTGACAAATGAGACTGAAGAGTCTGAAGAGTGTGGCGGAGGGAAAGAATGACTTGATTAAGTAAATGCTTTCTTCTTCTGGGCTGTTTTTGTTATGTAACAGAAAAAAAAAGAAAAGAAAGAAACATTTTTAAAGGGCACATAGCAGAGCCCTGAGCGAGACAAAGAAACTGTTTTGAATCGGGCGGCCGCAGAATCACCTCAGCTGCCAGGGCCGTTAGTGGGCCGTCTGGCTGGGTCCTGACTGACCTGCGTGAGGTACAGAGATGTTATAATCCCAGCCTGGCTGTGAGGACTCAGAGGTCTGGAGCGCAGGATTTATGGTGTTGTTTATACTCTGTGTTTGAGTCAACCACAGCAGACTGTTGCTTCCTCTGTTCTTTTTGGATGCTCCGTGGAGAGGTGTGCTGGGTGCAGCATAAACACATGTACGCCCAAGCCACACACACATACACACACACAAAGACGAACCAGTGAAAACCAGTACTGCCCTCTAAACCGTAGCGTGGTGGTTGCAGCGGTTTGGAAGAACGCAGGGTTTGAGTGTCGTCCATAGGCAGCACGGGTGTCAGAGAGTGCTGTGCTCGACCACCATGGTGTTATTCATTCGTGAAGTATAGTGTTTGAGGACAGAGGGTTCACGGTAACTTAGTTAGAAACCACGTTATGGCAAGAATATTGTTGGAATTCAATGGTTTTAACTTTAACGTTTTTTCCAATTTTAGATGTTTGGGATTTTCCAGCTCATGGATGTGAAACAATGATTTGATCAAGGTTTTTATTTTAGGTTATTGTCCATCTTTGGTGGCCTCTGTAATCTGTGTATTTCATTGGAAAAAGGGAGTTACTGTCTACATATTCTCTCATTAACTGAGACATGACTGCAATTAGAACTAGCCAGTCTTCAAGGTTTTTATTTTAGGTTATTGTCCATCTTTGGTGGCCTCTGTAATCTGTGTATTTCATTGGAAAAAGGGAGTTACTGTCTACATATTCTCTCATTAACTGAGACATGACTGCAATTAGAACTAGTCAGTCTTCAGTCATGTATCCATGTATCTATCTATCTATCTATCTATCTATCTATCTATAGCCACCTAGCTAGCTAACTAGCTAACATTTAACCAGGGTTGTGAATGCAGAGAACGTAGTAGTCAGTGAAATGTCAGCAGCTGTGTTTTAGCGCAGACACAACAACAGGTCTTTTCTTCTTTTCTTCTTCTTCTTTTTCTTTTTTTTTCCAGCCGTCCATCTTATATAACAGCTTATCTCTCACAGTCACGTCCACACACAGCAGCCTGTACATTCTGTAAGTTGACACCTGCAGTGTAGTGTTAAACGACTTAGATAAGCTTTGAGGAAATTAACACCACCTCCAAATGTCTTCAACATATTATGAACTACTGTTGACTTGGCACCTCCAAATGTCTTCAACATATTATGGACTACTGTTGACTTGGAAACACACACATGCACAGACACACACTAATGCCAGGTCAGGGCACGGAGAGACAGGCATTAAAGCAACATTAAAAATTAGCTGGTAAAAAAAGTAATATTTACATTTGTATAAATGTAAAAAAAAACACACAAAATGATTACAAAAGTTCATAAAAAGTTACAATTTTCACGAACTATAGCAAAAAAATTTGAATCACGGCTAAAATTCTCCAAACACACACGTGCTGTTCCGTCTGAACCAGAGAAAACTTTGACATTTGTTGTGTGAAAAAAAAAAATCATGACAATAAAACTCCAAGATGTTTTTTGGCAAATGTAAAATCCTAGTATGAAGTATAATTTAAACGTCAGCCTAAATTTACACCTTTTCTGTTTTGAGACTACTTTTGGCAAACTAGTGGTCATCGTGAGGTCAAGCAATGGAGAACAATGGCCAAGCTGTATCCTTCCACAGTGTTTGTGGGCCAGATCACTGCGTCATATGGGCCATGTGTGAACTAAAAAAATCTAAAAAATCTAAAAAATGATACATTTCTTGCCTGAGTGTAACCTTTTTAAAGTGATCTTTTAGTTGAAATAAAAAGGTTTTTAAAAATGGAACATAATAAATAAATCTGACTGAAATGGTTTCTTTACTACTGACTGACTATATTTTATATGGAACAGTGTGTTATTAAACCTAGAACCATGTATATATGTACCTTTTAAGACCCCATCTGCATAACCTACATGGACCTCCTATGGGCCACGGGCCCCCAGTTGAAGAATTAACCGAAATATTATTATCATTATTATTATTATTATTATTAAATATATTGTCAAGAGGTGTCAAACTCATTTTCACTCATCATCCTCATGGTGTTTATTATAAGACTTGGCGGGCCACATTTGGCCCACGGGCCTTGAGTTTGACACATGTGCTGTATGTATTTAAGACTGTGAGAACACTGGATAAAACAGCACATAGAGAGAACATTTTTTGAGAAAGTCTATCATACTCCCCAGGCCCCCCGGGAATTGAACCGGAAACCTTGACCTTGACGTAAGGCAAAGCCTTGAACCGCACTCCAATAGTTGCGTCTTCTTGTTACAAATAGGTCCAGTTGCTGGAACTTTCTATCTCAGGTTTGTCGTCAATGTGTAAAAGCTGTGAGTTTTGACAGCTGCTTGAGAGAAAGTGTGTGTGTGTGTGTGTGTTTATTCAGCGGGCCCAGACACACCCGTGACTCACGCTCCTCTCAGTGTTTGCACGCAGCTTTCGTGGACTGTACTTTTCCTTTCCACAGGAAACTTCTGTACTGACACCAGGTCATTAATACAACTGCGGCGGCCGCTGCGATGACGCTGCGCTGCGTAAATGCAAAGCTGGTTTGTTATTCATCACCAAGGCTAGGTCTAGGAGCTACTCTGTGAACTTCTTCTTTGTGCTGTTCTGCACATCTAAATGCTTTGAGCTGCATTACTGCCATCTATGGGGTGTATTTTATACTGGTCAATAACTGCTATCAAGAGGAGAAGAGGGAAGTTCCAATCATTCAGACCCAGTCGATGTTCATGCGACAAATTTTATTTTAATTTCTGTTTCTTAAAAACACACAAAGTATATCCAGTATTTTTTAGACACAAAGACAGGGGTGTTGTGATACACATGTTGTCTAAAAAATATGAATTTATATTAGGGATGTCTGATATCGACTTTTTGCCATAATCCGATATGCCGATATTAGCCGTACACTTAATTCCTGATTCCCATATCAATCGATATTGATAAATGCAAGAGTCTCAGGAACCTACCAGCAATTCCAGCATATTTGGCAAAATCCAAAAATTCCGTTATCAAATGTTTTATTATCGGAGGAAAACCTGATAACGATTCTCACCGATAATACGTAATTATGCTAATATTATACGAAAGCCGATATTATCGGACATCCCTAATATTCATTTTTGGTCCTGGCTCTCATTTATTACTATATTAATAGGTTTGGCTCTGGGTTGTCGGCCTCTGCTCAGGGCTGTTGCTCTGTACATGGAGGCAAATATATTTTTTATTATTATTTTGTAGGCAGTTCGCTGCAATTACATTGAGATCAAATGAATGTGAACACAAAGCAGGCTTTATATAACCAGGCTTTCAGCTGGGTTACATGTTAAGTCTAGGTTTATTTCTGTGAAACTGACTTGAGCGGGTCTGGATTTAGATAAGCGACCCTCTCGCTCTTGAGGTCACAGGTTCGAGCCTCGTGACTCCACTTATCACTTCCACCAACTGTTGCCGGGGAGTGAGATAGTGGAAGTTGCCAGTTCATCGCACCTGACCCGGCACGCTGGGTGTGTAACCCAGGTTCAGTTACACAAGTTATAAATATTCATTCATTTCAGAAAATGAAAAGTTTATTTTGAACTTGGATTTATTATTATTTGTTTTGGCAATATCACAGCCACTGTTTTACTAATGGATTTTTTTAAAGGTTCAGCTTTTTTTCAACTACAAACTTTTATTTATGGCAAGTTATATAGTTTAGTTATAATATGGTCACTGCTAAATTGGAGGATGTTTAAATAAACTTTTGGCAAAAATTTTGGCCAATGACTATTTTCACCGTTAGCCGTGGGTTTTTTTGAGTTTGTGAATTTTTTAATTTAGATTTTTTTCCCCCATGACTATTTTCACCGTTAGCCGTGGGTTTGAGTTTGTGGATTTTTTCCCCCACTGTATTTAATTAAATTGACTAAACCTTTAGTTCTCTTGAAAGTTGAACAAGGTCATGTCCTGTGGACACCTCCCTGGACCCCCGACCCAGGACTTGTACAACAGATGCAGTGAGGTACTGTGCAGAAATGGCGACGCAGAGATAAACAGGAGGATCTTTTTTTATTGACATCAGCAACAAAGTGCAACCATCCTCTGAAAACATCCAGCTCGCTTTGGAGTGAGGCTTTAAAAAAGCAATAAATACAGCAGATAGAAAATCACGTCAGCAAGAAATGCTGTAAAATTAAACATTTACAAAATAAATGTAAATAATGTTACTCATAACAGCCAGGAAACGGGCTGCTAGGTTAAAAACTTAAGGCAAGGCGGTCTTATGCTTGCAGGCTGAGTATATGCTCTTCTTCACCAAAACGTACAACCTGAAATACAAAATAAACAAATAAATAAATAATTATCAAAAAATTCTACAAGCATTTCAAAATATTGTGAATGAACATCTCATTTTTCCTCTTCTTACCTTTAAAATGTTGTCTGGATGTTATTCAGGATGTCACCGTAAACAAAGTTGAACAGCTGCTCCTTTGACTTGGTTCCATCAATCTGCACTGTTATGAGAATAAAAAAAAAACAAAAAACATTATTTCAAGAGAAAATCCTAAATTGGAAACTGCTGAATACAATCAACTTTATTTTTTTTCGGGTTACTTACAAACGTCAACACCTGATACCTCCATGGCTGTCTTGTGTTTCAAGTACATGGGCCAGACGTGACCCTCGAACAGGCCGGGGGGGTCTGGCACCGCGTAGTTCCTAGAGCTGCACAGAAACAGTACCCATTACTATAGCAGTGATTGTGAAGACTCCAAGTACCGGTTCAAACCAGGGTGGAAAACATGCCTATACTTACCACCTCCTCTTTTTGCATTCTTCATATGGGATGGAAATGAAGAAACGTTGGTCCAACACGTCGATCAATGGTCTAAAGGATGGAGATGAAAAGTCCATTGATTGACTGTCACACTGACCAAAAAAAACCCAAAACAAAACCAACCAGGCCAGGCGACAGTGTTTACCTGTAGGTGTAGAGCAGAAAGCCCTCGACGATGAGGATGTGAGTCTCCTCCTCCTTATCGTCAGACTTTGGGATGATGTCGGTATCCAGGGTGTTATTAACGCCATGCGACTTCTCGAACTTCACCGGATTGTCCAGCCATGCGTAGATGGTGCTCATCATGGCATCCATATCCAGAGCAGTGATGACTGATGGAGGGAATTGATGAAGCAGTGAGGGCAAGGGCAGAAAGGACCAGAGAGAAACGTGTAGAAGGGTTGCAAAGTGAGTAAAAACAAAAAAACAAAACATTGTTTAGTGTTTAACTTGGACTGGGCTGCATGCACTTCCCAAATTAGTCTGTTACAGCAGCAGCAACGTACACCAACACACCCACCAGCAAGCGTACAAACACGCACACCCATTAAAAACCCAAGCTTACCATCGTACTGCTTAAATCCATCTTCACCAACTTCAATCTGATCCTGGGGCTGAAACATACATCAATAAGATGTACCCAGGTACATGGCAGGAGTGCTACACTCTGCTACATGGAAGGCTCTGATAGTCTACACAAAAGCCCCCTCCTATCAACATCCCACTGCCCTAATGTAGGCCTGAACTACATAAAGTTGGTTTACTGTATACAGAATTCAGAAGGTGCATGTGTGTGTGTGTGAGACTCACCTTGAAGAAGTCATCCTGGTGGACCACACAACAGTTTGGAAGGGTCTTAATGAGCCTGTTGGTGAGGGTGGTTTTCCCTCCGTTGGTCACACTGAAGAAAACAACAAATAAAAAAGTCATTTAAAGAGCTGAAAGGCTGTAATATTAAAAACATCACGGACAATGCAGTCGAGCACGTCACATTAATAACGGAATATTTACCATATTGTTATTCCACTTTTTGTATACAAGGTAACAGGAACTGCTAATTTTTTTCCTTATGCTAGTTAATGTAAAGGTATTTTTCAGTTTAATGTTATGGTCATTTAGAATTTTTATAAATATTAATTTTTGTTTAGTTGCCTTTTAAAAAAAAAAAAAAGGTATCAACTGCAGTACAATAGAAAATAATACCTTGCTCATGTTAGTGCCAACACCTTTTGTTTACAATGGATTACAATTCTGAACTTGTCCACGCAGTGAAAACAATAGTCATTATCCAATGAATGGCGGTAAAGTGAATTCCATTAAGTTGTGAGACTTAAGAACGTGTCATTTTGAACCAAAATCTATTTCCTACATTTAAAAAAAAAACTTTAACATTAAATAACACATTTGTAAACATACAAAAACTTAATCTCTAACAACGAATGATGACGTCATTTTAGAGTACGAGAACACACTGTTCTTTTTTTTTTTCATTCAACGCTGCACCTTCATGACATAATTACTATACAAGTACCTCTGAAACATTCTCGATATATAACGATTAAGTTGAAAGTATGTATAAAAATGTGTTATGATCATAATTATACTGTTTTTCCTGCACATTTGTCGCCAGTATTTACATTTCGTCAGAATGTGGGTCAGTTGGTCAAAGATGGCACACCCATTCCCATTCGGATTCTTATGGTCAGCGTCTCGATTAGTCGGTCAACTTTAACCGTATTTGACAGCACCGAGAGCACAAGATAATCGACAGGCATTACACGAACGAACGACAGAAATGTGGGCATTGAAAATGATGCAAGTGCAGTTTTTTTTCCCTCCACATGCTTCGGCCGCTTAGAGCCCGACAGCTGGGCTGCGCTGTTAGCTTAGCTTCTGAAAGCATGAACACAGTGACTTCCGTAACGGCGCACTCACCCGCCAATGCCAATGATGTACTTCATGTCGTCAGGTAGGATGGATTCCGGAGTACAGAGAAAAAAATCGTCAAGAGTTGAATAAAACCGGTGCACAGTTCTCAGTGATCGAACGGGAAGAAAGCTTAAAAAGAGAAGGTTGCAGCAGGAAACGTCAACTACTCGAGTCCTCCATGGCAGCGGAAGTTTGAGTGAGTAAAGTGTGCGCGGTAGGGAGCGACGGTGTCACTCGGACGACAAGTCTTCCAGCAAGAGAAGGAACACGGGAGAATCCTTGCTACACATACCGGCTCTGATACGGTGATTGGCTATTTAAACCCTTCAACCGCACGGTGGAGCCAGAAACAGCCAATCAGAAGCCAGGGTCACTACAGCCCCGCCCTCCTCCAAAATCTAATCAGGGATCATGCATAAACATCCCGACTCGTGATGTAATTACTTTTAAACCAGTTGCAATGAAAGAAAAATACACGTTAGAGAGAAGTATTTTAAAGGTAGTGCCGGGAGAAATATGAATCACACAAACGTTATATTCTCTCGTCCCATTGTGTTGAGCCGCTGGAGAAATACTGGGATATTTTTGCAAATTGTACCTGCAGTAGTACTACCCTCTACTTGTGTAAATTTTTTACTTTTTAAAATATAAATGATTAGAACATACAGTAAGAGGGAGAAAATAAAACAGTTGTTCTCAATCTATAGCATTGGTGTATTTCTGACAATAACAAAAATGTATTGATGGGTGTATTTCTATTTTCTCAGGATGTCAGTTGCTATTAAAATACAAAAGAAAATGATTGGGTGAATAATTGGGTGATGAGAACCTATACATCTCTGAAGTTTTATATAGTTTTATATTTATTCAAATTATTTATGTATAAGATTCGGAGTTTTGTTGCAACCATTTCAGTTCAGTTATATAACTAAGTAAATTACAGTATTCATAGCGTGTTTATAGCGCCCACTGCAGGAAGTAGAATGTTTTATAAACAAGGCAATTAAAAGCCTAAAAGTAATAACGAAGAGGACACACGTAGTACTGGCCAAACATCAGTCAGCTGCGGGTCATATGACACACAGACTGAATAACTAAAAAAATGTAAAAATAAAAAAGGAGTGTGGCCATAACAAAGGAGAAATATATCTCAGTAAAACAAACCAAAAAAAAAAACAACAACCAAAAAACCATCAAGGCTGAGGAAGTGTGGAAAAATATTCCAAATACTGGCCTTGACAATAACAGGAAACAAAGAATGTCCACGCTCATTTTCCTTGCAGTCTGGCTTGTTTTAATTAGCTCCAGTGACAGAAAACAAAACATTTTAAATTCAGTTGAAAAAAAAGGGGGTTTGGAACTGTTTCTGTTTACAACCGTGGTTATGCTATTGCCCAACGACCACCTTGAAAATGTGAAAAAAAGTGGCCGTAAAATAGCAACAAAAAACACCCTAAAATAAGTGTAGTAAGCAATAGTTTGTCATTAAATAATATGTCTGGAAAGCTAATTATTATACTATATACATATATGTATATATATTATAAAAAAATATATAACTAGGAATGTAGCTGCTAACTCGTCACCTTTTTATAGCACGTCTCTGTGTACAAGCTGTTATTGTATTTACGTATCAACCACACACAGAAACACATTAAATCGTCTCCATGCTTTTACCCAATTAGCTGCGGTGTTTCTCTCTCTCGCCTGTTTTGTTTATAAAAACTTCCCAACCGACACCGTGACACAGTTTCCCTGAGGCGACACCAAAACATTACTTATCTCAGGGTTTACATCCTTTAAAACCTCAACTATGAAGAGGAAGTCGCCAAGTGTGGAATTGACTTTGGTTTGTTATAACATCTATTCATAGTGGAAACCTTTTCTGGGCCACTGAAGATTTTCAGTCTTTAGGGATTTTTTTCATTTTTCTTTAGAAGATTTTCAACACTTCACACAACATTTTATAATTATATTTGGCTACATGTTAATTAGATGAGATGTAAAAAATGAAATAAATTAAAAAATAGAGCAGAAGAGGGAAAGGTTTGGTAAAACTGACTGTAAAATAAAAAAAATGCTATGCTAAATAATGCTTATAGTACTACATATTATTGTATATGTGACAAATACAACTTCTGAATATTGACAAGTAACAGTTGTAACAGTTAGCAAAAAGAGCCGTAGGCGATACTACCCTAAGATCTAATCACTAATCACAGATATGGCAAGAATGAGTCATTTGTGTTTATATGATAATAATAACATAAATAATTTGTATTTTGTTAAAAAATACACTTTTGTTTTTTTTTCTATATTAAAAGACTCCACACTACATGCAGACTCTGATTAAAAGACTCCACACTACATGCAGACCCTGAATCATCATACAGAAAACTGCAGTAATGAAAGTTCTCAGACCAGAGCTGATGGTGTTGTCAGGAAATGAAGATCAGAGAAGAAAACACTTGTAACTCACACGGTGATAATAGACATTTGAACGGTAATTTATGATTTACAATTTTTCACGTGATGTGAAAATAATCGTCGTGTTCTTGGAAGTTGTACTGCGTTGGTAGATTTTTACACAGCTCTCACGCATTTACGCAAAACTGTTACTGGGCCGGCTTCCTGTGTCCTGCAGATCTTTCATACCTAAGGTTACAGCTCTACGTCGTCACTTTGGTGACCAATGTCCTACAGCAGGGGTCATCAATTATAACAGACCATTTTACTGGACAGACACCTTGGGGGCTGGACACTCAGATAAAACGAAACAAAAATAATAATAATAATTAAAAAAACATTAGTATTTAATGTTTATTTTTTGGAATCCAACCACAGGCCAAATTGGACAGTTCAGTGGGCCATCTTTGGCCTGCGGGCCGGCGGTTGATGATCACTGCTAATGTTTATTTTTTGGAATCCAACCACGGGCCAAATTGGACAGTTCAGTGGGCCGTCTTTGGCCTGGGGCATAAAAGTTGCCAAAAATACATTTAAAATGTTTAATGAAATTGTCCAACAACTGCTTAATAATTTTGAAATGTGTAAAAAAAAGAAAAAAAAGAGACTTATTTCACTTCACAATAAATGAGTAATTAAACAATCCAACAACCAATCAAAACAAAGACATAAGTGAATAAATACATGAATAAAGTACTATTAAGTCTTCTAGCCTGGCAGAAAGAAAATGTTAAACGAAAGATTTAGGATTCTATTTTTTTTATAATAACTGAAAAGGCTGAATATGCTGCAGTAAAACCGTGTCGTCTTTCTTCTTTCTTTACCAAAGACACAGCGTGAGTTCACTAAATTCCAATAATTGGCATGAAGTACTTCTACTTAGACCATAGTGTAACAGTTTAGGCCATGAAGGCAGGAGTCAGACCTCGGAGTCAGAACTCTTTCATCGAATGTCAGCAGTGATTCCTGGTGCATTGCTGCTGCATGTTGCGACTCCTACCATTGTTTGTGCTTTGTGCGTTAAATGACTTGTCTTTGTCCAACCTTTGATATCTTCACACTCCATTAGCTGCAGCTCTGACTTCAACCGACACATTACTCTTGCATGATTCCAGTCCAGTCTCTTTAACAAAGACAATGTGACCTGTAAAATGGCCAACAACTTGGTTGACCCTGTCAGTAAAATACTTTGTCACCCATAGACTAGAAAAGCATCTGGTACAAAAGTATTACTTTAGTAATCTGTGTTAATCACTGTTAATCACTGGGGTGATTTTCACGGAAACATGGGTTCTGTGAACATCAGGACCTATTTGTCCAGTCTTTTGTAAGTGATCTGGACATCATCTAAATGAAATACTACGTACTGAGGCGTGATAGATCCAGTAGGTGGCAGTAATGTAGATCATGCAATTTAAATCTACCAGTCTCAAGGAAATCTTAACAAAGAAGCCAGACGGATGATGTTAGCTTGGTCCCTGCTCTGACAAGACAAAGACGCAATTAATATCAAAATTAACCTTTAATTCAGTGTTTGTACATATGATGAAGTTTATGATATGATTAAAAATCTCTGTGCAAACTTTTGAAATCTGCAGCTAATGGTTAGAATGACGCCAAATATGTTACATTTTAGCTCAACATCTTTGGAATCGAAAAGCTCGACAGAACGGGCTAGGTGTTATTTTCTATTTCCAGCAGACAGTCACTGGGACACGTTTCAACAAAGTTTAAAGAATTAGGCTTATATAGAATAATGTACCATTAAATCTACTTGCTTTTAAATACATAGCTCCACCAAGAGACCAAGGAGGAGAGCTACTAGTTCAATGCTCAGATTTCATTTTTTGTATTTTCCTCCTCAGCGAGCTTCGAACGCTCAACTCCTTATGTAATAAGGTGTGAATGACCCGTGTTTGACAGGATGATTTTGTCACCAAAGTGAATGTAACACAGCTCCAATATGGAATTAGCCGTACTGCAACTGAAACATGCTGTACAGCATATGAATGTCTCACAAATCTGAGATTAACACTGGAGTGTGAACGTACTTTCTGTGATCACCTTGTGCTCTGTCGTCACACTCCAACACAGATTGTCATCAGCTGAATTATCTCACTCCACGTTTTCACCGCTGTTTTGTTTCCAGAAATGCCACATTTTCTGCATGACCATGGATTGTTTACAGTGAATTCAGGAATTCCTTAGAAATCTTATACAACTTTCCACGTATTGTGGAGCTGAAAACACGTGTTTTATACAGGCTGGTTTTCACTTAAAGGTAGCATGTTGTTTCTTTTTTTTACAGTATTAGTTGACTATTACATTAAGTACACAACTCAAGGTACAGTGAAGTTAAGAGCAGTTCTATAGTGAGAGTATACTGCCCACTGCGAATCGACTACAGCCAGACTGCCATCTTGTGGTTGTAAAAGAATACATTTTAGGTCCTTTAGTATACTGTGATGTCACGTCATATTTGAAAAAAAAGTTTAAGAATTTTCCTTGACCTTTTATCCCTTTCTGTCTGGAGAGACAAATCAGAGCAGTAGACAAGAACATACTTGTCACATGCATTAATGACTAAAAGCATGTGACAGTAAAATACAGTGAACGTTTTACTATGCATCACAGGAAATTACTGTAATGTGCGACAATAAACTGCACGTTACTTTTCCAGGAAATTGTTTCTTATCTAAATCATCCTATGTTTCCGTGAGAAGCAAGTCACAGAAATGTGAAAACAGAGATTGCGTGTCATGGTTTTACTAAAACCTTGGGACACATTCACATGAAAACATTTTTTTTTTTAGTTTTTTATTTTGCTGTCCTGACACAAAGAGCTCAAATGCTGTTGATCAACATTGTTATTGTATAATTAATGTCAATTTCAATATGGTGAAGAAGAGTCAGTGGGTTTATCCAGATCTCCTGGATAAACATTAACCCATTAGCTAAGAAAAAAGTTGTGTTCTGTCGGTAAGTGAAGTCACAAACTTTTAATTATTCAAAAATTAAACTTCAAATGTTTATCAAAGTATATTAAGAACAAAAAAGAGAAATTTATAGCGATTAAAAATAAGCTTTTTTTTCATTCCTTGCACACTCTACTTTATCTCTTTATTGACTCACCGCTTGGTGGCGACAATTCTTCTTAAGTAGTTTTATTAGTCCTTGAGAACTCGACGTTGAAAGAGGTGTGCTGTTTTATATATATAAATGTCGATATGCAGGTAAATAAAACAAACAAAATTTAAAAAAACAACAACAACTACACGTATTACACATTTATCGAAGCTTAAGTTGAATTCACAACTTTTACCTGCTCTATGACAGATACTTGTCGAATAACACAATTAAATTCTCTGTATTGTTTAACGCTATTACTACATTTCTAATTATTATGACTTATATACCGTTGAAAAATACCATTGCCCATGTAGTGTTGACAGCTTTCCTCAACAGCGTTTTAGAAATTACAACACACGTACCTTGAACTTTGAATGTACACTTAAAGGCATCATTAAATGTGACCGCACACTCTGGCTCATAACTGCCAACTTTACCCAAAAGACCCTAAAGGTGCCCTTAAAGTGCCTGTCCATATGTACCCTAATTTAATCAGGACCGAATACAGAGCTGTTTTACATTGATAAATGTCAAATAAACATAAAAAAGAAGAAAGAAACTGAATCTGTATTTATTTATTTAGTAAAATTGTGGTTTTGATGAGCCTTTTAGAGATGGCATTTTTTGGGCCGTTTGTTGCTAGGAACGACAGAAAACGCGTTATATAATATGGTTTTATTGACTATAAAAGGTACAATAAGTTATTAATCAGAATATGTTAACAATTTGGCAAACTCTTTTGTTTTCTTTTTTCTTTTCTTTTTCTTCTTCTTCTTCTTCTTTTTTTTTTTACATTTTACAAGTCACTGAGTCTCACTCTCCCCCTGTGACTATTTTTGTCTGTTTACATTTATCCTGTCTGCCTCACCGCTGTCATTCTCATTCTGTCCAACACAGGTGGAAACTGTTGACCCAAAGGAGAGAAATGACGTCTTAAACCAAGTAAAGCAAATAGTCATCGTTTCTGGAGGAAGAAAAAAAAAAGCAGTTTCTCTCAAATAAGTCAAATATGTTTGTTTTTTTCTCTCGTTGGTTTACCTTAAAAATTTCCTGTAGCAAGTCATATTCACAAATCTTCTGATTTGTAACAGTAAACTCCATGCTTGTGCTGTGGAGGTGGGAAACCAAAGCTGCGGACCCCTGGCTCTAATGGACCACAGTTTTTCCGTGGCCTGTTGATGGCGTAGCGAACACTGCCATCAGCCAGCCAGCCAGCTTCACAGTGGTCCAAACCCTTGAACTTCCAGGCGGTGTAGATCTGGCCAACTTTAGCCACCTGGGCTCCAGCTTCCTGACAAGCCTGTTGGGCTTCGGTGAAGTTCATCTTGCGAATGGGCTGAAGATAAAAGACTGTGCCTTAAAGAAAGAGAGAGAGTTAGATAATAAAACGGAATTATTTTAGATTATTATTATCAGATTATTTTATAATCTAGTTAACATGATAGCACAAGAAAAATAAGTTTTGTTTCATAGAGTGCAAAAACCTGGACCTATGACGGGGCATTATTTGGAGGAGGTTGTATGAATTGTTAGCCTTGCCTACAGTGACACCTGGTGTTTGCTTGAGGATTCACTGGGGTTGCTATGTTTTATATTAATTATTACATTTCCAAACAGAACAAACCTCTTAGTGAAGAAGAAAAGCAAAAAACATCATAGCGCTGTTGATGCAGGTGACGTCTGCCATAGCTGCGGACCCCTGCTGTGACATGCCCCCCACAGGGCATTCTTGGCCGGGTGATAGGGTACTGGACTGTACCGTCGGCCAGCCAGCCTGCATTGCACCAGTTCAAGCCCTCCTTCCAGGCCTGGAAGAGCTGTCTTAAGGTGGCCAGTGTGGAGCCCTGCTCCTCACAGACCTGTTGGGCTCTGATGAAGCTGAGATGGTAGCGCCCCTTAGAGTGCTGGTAGGGGAAGACCAAGGGAAAGACCACACCTGAAGGTAGGAGGAAATACATTGAAACTGACAAGATATACTGCTTCACAACAACAAGAAGTATATAATATTCTGTGTATTTATGCACTTTTCATATATTTAGCACAGTGGGGAAATTGCATTGCCAGTACTTACATTCTAATTTTGTTGCCTTCCTTCAATGAAAATACTAGTTAATACGAATAAAATCCTGGGACAACTCTGGAACAACCAACTGTTTGGAATTATACAGTGAATATTCTGCGTTAACTAGAACACTAACAATGCATTTTGATTTTGTATTTTGACTCGTATAATGATAACATCTCACCACTAGATAGCAGTGTTACGACCTTTACCTTGGTACCAATGGTTGATAAATAATAGATAGCAGTGTTACGACCTTTACCTTTAACTAAAATGGTTGATAAATGTCTTCTACATTTAATCGACCCTTTGCAATCATCATATCAACTGAAGGGTTTATTTTGTAGCCCAAATATTGCCCTATTATTAGTCTTTGTGACCCTGAGATCATATAGAAACACTGATACCTTGTAGCTGCAGGTCAACCACAGCAGACTTGTCCTCCAGTCCGTCCACCACCTCACAGCGGTAACGACCCGCGTCATTTAACTGGAATTCAGTCATTAACAAAGAAGCATCTCCAGGGAAATCCTGTCTGAGCTGCACACGCCCCCTGACCAACAGAAGATCAACATGCACGTATGTAAACCATGACATGAAAACTGATGGATGACTTGGTTGTTCGTTCAATCAACCTAAATTCTCCAACGCTTCGGCTGCGGGAGCCGATGGCCACCAGGACTTCTGTCTCCTGTCCTTCAGCAGCAGAGAACCAGGACCACTTGATCCTGACTGTTTTGGGTAAACTCGGTTCAGACTGATACCAAAATCTGCACGGGAGGGTGACGTTATCTCCTCTCACCGCAATCACTGAGGCCACATCAGGCTCCACGTAGATCTTCACATCATTGACATGAACTGCAGGAAACACAAGACAATGCACACGAACAGTAACATTTAAAACATTCATGCTAACACTGCGTGCTTAGAACAAAGAATAATTTGTACGTACAGTCTTTGTGTCCATCTCTTTCGAGAACATCATGGTCAGAGAAATGTGCGGAGGAGATCAGAGAGAGCTGAGACCCCAACAAGAAAATGACCAATTGCTGTGTTTGGAGACAGCAACCCATCATTTAGCAGTGCTGAGCAATCCTCTCACCTGAGGGGAGACCAGAGCCTGTTGAACGGACAAGTCCTATTTAATTACACAACTGTTTGTTAAACAAATACTTTAATAAAAATTACACAACTGTTTGTTAAACAAATATTTTAATAAACACCCACACATTTGTAGTCCAATCCAAGATTAGCATTTAGCTAAAATGTACATTTAGTTTGTCTGCTGTAGGGCAGTATATCATGTCATATCAGCATCAGTGAAAGTGAAATTAAAAATATACAACGGTGTTTTAAAACCCTGCATTAAAACAGATGCGATAATGTTTTCAAATCACCATATATTTAATGACATGGTAGGAAACAGCTAGTAGTTTACAGCTTGACGACATATAAAGATTTATAAGGTTAATAAAGTCTTTAAAAGGTCTTTAAGAAGTAAACCTAGTGTAGGTAAGACACTTTATTATATTATACTCTTATTTTCTCACTTACCTCAGAGAAAAGCTGTGTCACTCGTCTGAAAGTGAAGCAGATGGAATGACAAAAATCCTCCAAACAGACGTTAATAATAATTTAAATTAAAAAACCTAATCTGAAGAGCAGCGAAGACGCAGAGCTGCTGCTGCAGCAACAGCTGGAAACAACTGGAGCTTCATTGCAGGCAGTGAGAGAGTGACGTCTAGTTTGGACAAGTCCTTCATCACAGGTGTCTCTGTCGTCATTAAGGGAAACAACATTAACTTGTATTACTAACTACCACAGTTTTAAATATATGATTTTTTTTAACAGCTTGTAAATTTATTTTTTGCAGATTAGTCAGACATAAATATCCAGGTACACACCTTATCAGAAAGAATACATCAAAATATACAATTAAATATAAAATAAATCTGATACGTATATATTCCTGATGTCCGATAATATCGGCCCATCAATAATATTGTCCTGTTATTAGCATGGTCATAAAACAAAAGAATCGTTATCGGTTTTTTATCTAAATTAAATTAAATTAAAACAGCATTTGTATTTATTGGTATGCGCTGATATCGGGTCGGAAATTTAGTGTTTGGGCAATATCGGCTTATCGGATACAGGCCAGAAGTTAATGCTGATATCGCTAGTATTTTTTGATAGCCACATTTCGGACCTTATTGTCACTACTCTAATCCTTTCATGTTGTAAAAGTATTTAAAATTATTTTTAAATTACTATTTTTATTGCACACAGTTTCACATCAGCCTGTATTAAAAACCAGGACTGCTGGTAAACGACTTAGGGCGACAGTAGGGACGGAAGGACGTGGTGTGGAGAGAGACACTTCCTCCACCACTGCAGTCACTTCACAGAGATAAAAGCCGTTGCCAGCGGCCGAACATACCTGGACCGTGATGTGAGGAGCCAGACGAGGGGCCGTCCCTGCGTAATTACACACATAAACAGCAGAGTCTGTGTTCGGGGCAGGAAACCAGAATGCTGGGGACAGCTGTTTTTTAAAAAACATTTCTATTTGTTTAGTTTTTATTGTTTCTTTGCCCGAGACCCTCGTGTTCTTTCAATGCCAGGTTTTAGAAAAACTGCGTAATTGATAATAAACTAAGGAAACTACAACAGAGAGCAAATCAATCAAAATTCTGCAGCCAATCAGGATGCTCAAATGCAGCAACGAGAGAAATGGTGACGTAGAGTACAACAGATACACATAAAAGAGAGTCAAATCACCAACATTATTTATTACACAATTCTTATTCAAGTTTAAAATCGTGTAATTGAGATGTTTTTATTTCTAAATATTTTACATTTTCTTTCAAACAAGTAAATAATAATAATAAAAAAATGAAATTATGTTTCTCAATTCAAAGAGGCTGTTTGTCAGAACATTTGCAAGGTCATTACTACATAAACAACATGTAAAAATATTCATAACAGACATTTATTTTTAGGACGCCATCCTATGGAATTTATTGCACAGACCCTGAACTCTGATCCATGAAATGGTATCTGGTCATTAACATTAAATGAAATATTAGCATGAAAGAGTGGGATCCACAGGCTAAAGGAAAAATACCCAACTTTTTTGCCTCCTGCAATTCCATTTTGTGCATTTCCTTTGACACCCCGCAGCAGTAATGACCATAATACATACACAACATATGTGTTATGAGGAAACAGTGGGTCTGAAGAGCCCTTTATGAAACCTTAAAGTCTACAAAACCCTTAGAAGGAAGTGGAGGTGTAGCTGATTGCAGAAACCGAGGACATTTTGTCTCAGTATTTTATGTTGCTGTAGACGTAAATAAACAACAGGTCTCGAGGTTCTAATGAGCGTTAGACCCCAGGCGACAGGAAAAGAAAAAAACAAGAAAGATCCTTTAATGAGGTGCAGAAGAGTGTCATTACAGTCGGTCTCTTTATCTGTGCCACCGGCCCCCAGAATGCCAACACATTTGGTTTAGTTTGTTATTTAAAAAAACACAGTATAAAGGTCCAGTAGACCTGGTTAGAATGTAGCAAAAAGAAATTTCATTTAGGGTCAAAATGACCCCAAGGACGTTACAAATGTAAATCTCTAACTGTGCTCAAAATATAAACGCATATGCTGCGCAATATGAATGGGTTCCCTTCGAGGAGCACACGACTACTGCATGTGTCCATACAGGCAGACACGTTTTATCATCACACGTAAAAGTCATCAATCGAATTTTTTGTTGTTGTGTTAGAACAATTTTAACAACAGACACGATCAGCAGCTGTTAACAGACATTAACAGGAAGTGATTGTGCTTCAGAGTGACACTGTACACACACTGTCAACAGGGTCATCTGTATTTACCTCTGTAAACGCAGCATGTGATGCCACATCTTCCGTGCGTGACTGTTGAACCTGGTGTCTGACTGTGGTCCATTTAAACTATAATGTGCACAACCATGTGAAAAGATCAGCTCTCACATAAAAAACAACTAAAACCTAGAACACTCTCTAACTCTTTGTCCAATGAAACTTTTAAAAACTACACTATCAAAACATTAAAAAGAAATCTCTAGTGAAAAAGTGCCAAAAAGTGTGAAAGTCCTGTTCAACACAACCTCCATGAAATACAGGTGGAGGTGACTCTACTGAGGCTCTGGTCTGCACAGGCGCAGCAGCGGGAAGATGTACCGCAGCGGTTCTAGTCGTCGCAGCCCAGAAGCTCCATGCGGAGAGCGATGCGCTCGTGCCACTCCCAGGGCAGGACTCGAACAAAACGGGCATAGAACGGAGGCTCGAACAAGTTCTTCTTATGAGAGTTGTTGTCAATGTTTCCCTGAAAGAGCTGCAGGTATGGAGAAGAATAACAGATACAGTTGTTACATACATTTGGTAGGATTTGAGTAATACCTGATGCTATTTCTGTTCCAGAAATATACAGAAAGAAAAGGATGTAATATTTAAGAATGATGATTCACATTTATTAATCTTGATTATTGTAATAAATGACATATATATTTTATATGTAATCTATATCTATTCATATAATCAGATCAGTCTCAATATTGATTCATATACTTCATATTCATTAATTCACTGAGACATTACAAATATCCTACACCTATCCCACAACACGCACTTCTATTTGAACGCACTAATCAGTCTTTGGTTGTTAAAATAGTTCTAGATTTTTCCAGCTCCTCCTTCTCCTTCAGTCCATTCAAACATGGCCTCAGGTTCTCAGCTCAGTAAAACTTTAAAGGTCGTTTTATTGGACCATTTAGGTCCAGCCATTAGGGTTAAAATGTCTTGGTGAAGGACAGAAGATTTTTGTTATTATTTTCGGGAAAACAGCTTTTATTTTCCGCAGGAAGGAGACAGAACCGGAGACTTAAAATACTCTGAGATATATACGTAGATATATATAAGGGATGTCCGATATTAACTTTCTGCCGATATCTGATATGCCCATATTGTCCAAACAATTTTTGACGTCAACTGATACCAACATACGCCTGGTAATATTTATTTATTCATCTGTAAAAACCACTGTATGAGTATGAGATTAATACAATGGGATGAAATGCTGCCATCTAGTGACTTTCACTTTGATATACAGTCGTTTATGCCCAAAACTATTTTTGGGGCACACGTATTTGGCCAAATCCAGGCATTGTATTATCGGGTTTTCATCAAACCGATAACGATTCTTACAGATATTACATGCTAATATCTATCTATCTAGATCATTTCAGATAATTCTCTAAAAAACCTTGTCAGCGGCTGACCTTATCTTTGCCGGTGTCCTCGTCCTTCACCGTGTTCCACGTCTCCCCATCGTTGCTGTAGCCAACTTTAAACATGGACACGAACATCACCACGCCGAAATCCTTTGCGCCCTGAGTGATGATGCCTGTGAGGCGCGTTGTCCTATCCAGGTCAACCTGATGAAAACATTTTTTTTTAAACATTCAGGGACATTTGATCAGCTGAACCTGACGTCACAGATTTCCTCGATACCTCGATCCACTCTGAACGGTTGTTGTGTGCGGGAGACCAGGCATTCGTCTTCCCCTGCTTGTCCAATCGGGCAAGCCGTGGATGCCAGGTGAAGGCATCGATGCCCCACGTGCGGAAAGAACTGGTGGCAGAGATCTGGCCATCTGAGATGAGACGAGACTTCATCCCCAGAGCGTCGGAGCAACCTGTCGTGTTTGAATAAACTGTGAATGGACGCCGGTGGAGAGAGGGACGGGACGGGACGGGAAACGGCGGAAGGAAGAACGTAAGAAGAAAGGAAAAGAGATTGGAAATGAAAAACAAAAAAAGAAAATCAGATTCCTCCACCAATTCATGAAAACAGGAAACACAATTAATAAAAACAACATTTAAGAAATGAGGACAGGCCGACAGTGAAGAAGAATTCATGGAAAAATGCGACATGTTCATAATAATCATGTTTATCATCATTATTAACCAAGAACTTCAGCCCCTGGAGATCTGCAACAACAACTGTTATGACAGCTTCATTTCACAATTCACACATGTATTTTATAAGTCTTATAAGATTCAGTAATTAAATAAAATTACACTCTCATGTAATAAGTCGTATCTTTCTTTGTTAACACTAATACTAAATGAGAAATAGTAGCATGTAATAAGTCTTGGCCTGAGGTTCTAAAGCTATGGAGCATGTATCATTGGTGGTGCTGAGACTCCCTCTAGTGTTGAAAAGAAAAGTTAAACTTTCACAGTATTATAACATCACACATAACATTTCTGCTCTTTTTGGGATGTGTATTTTTTAAATTTATTTACCGTTAAGGTCGCAGCCCACCAGTTCCATGCGCAGTGTACAAGCCCGACGACAAACAACGGGGAGGATGCGAATGTACTGGGCCACAATTGACGGGTCAAAGCGGTTGGTCTTGGTGCTGTCGTTATCCGTGTTGCCCACAAAAATCTGAAAGACGAGGAAACTGAAGTTCTGTGCTGTCACACTGGGTTATGACGTGACGTAAACTTTGACCATAGAGTGGGCTCCAACCTTGTCATGTCTTTGACCATCGGTTCTATAGGTGGTGTAAGTTCTTCCGTCAATGCTGCTCGCCACCTTAAAGGCCCGGACACACTCAGACGACCCCATGCGACTGGCGCCCTGGGTGATGATGCCGGTCAGACGCATTTTATTCTGCAAGTTGATCTGGAACCACAGAAAGACAGTTGTGTTTTAGCGGTTCTCATGTCTGTGTTCCACCACAGCCTGCCTGAGGTTCTAGTTGGTTGAGTTTCAGTTGAGACTCTCATGTCTGTGTTCCACCACAGCCTGAGGTTCTGGTTGGTTGAGTTTCAGTTGAGAACACCGTACCTCTATCCAGGGGGTCCTGTCGTGTGTAGCTGAAGTCCAGGCGTTGACCATGCCCTGGTTGTTGAGTCGAGCCAGCTCTGGGCCCCAGCGTTGGAGACCCAGAATGCCAAAGTGCACTGAGGAAGCTGAAATCTGGGATTCCATGATTGCGCCTCCTTCCATCCCGAGCAGAGAAGTACACCCTGACAAATAACAATTACCCTTTTAATAACTACAACTACATCTGTGTGATCAGTTCATTTCCATTAGGGGTGTAAGAAGGAAGGACATGTGTTATTAAGAAATGTAAACCTACGTGTTTGGCACTTTTTCCCAACATACGGTGAAGGACACTGACAGGTGAAGTCTCCGTCCAGATCTCTGCAAATCCCATTATTTCTACAGGGCTGGTGGGCACAGTCATTCACGTCTACAACAGAAAACATGTTTATTTAATTCAACAGAAAAAAAAGTCCTTGTTTACCAAAGTGTGAACTCCCTGGTGGTCAAAGAATGTAATGAACATCCTCACATTTAATTCCATGAGTCCATTCTTCACGTATTGAATACGAGGTTTTGAGCTTCTGTCTTTTATCATTACATGTTTTTTTTTGTTATCCGGTTATTATAATGGCGACTGCTGTCTGTGAAAGACGAAAAACAAATATTTTAGGTATAAGTCCAGCAAGGATGAATGATTAGAGAATACTACCCTAATGCTCCACAAGGTGGCAGACTTGAATGCCTGGCCACAACGCCATAATAACACATCAAACTCTTTCCACGTGGCAGTAAATTTAGAATGTGAGGAAACATGGACATAGCGACGTTAGTTGAGAACGTTTTAATAATGAGCAGACAGCAAACCGCGGGAGTTTTAATTTGCTAAAATCTTTACTTGGTCTCCAAGAAAGAAACACGTCCGAGTAGTGGTGATAGTGACGCCGCTCCGCTCCGCTCCCTTCCCTTCAGCCTGTCATTATGCCTACTGTGTTTGTCCGGCCGTAGCCTCCCAGTCAATCAGCCTCATCATTCACTGCTGTTCCTCTGTGTCTAATACGTCGTATTTCTCGTTCATTCCTTACGTCAGGTTTTGTCGGTGCTCTCAGTGCTTTTATTCATTATTTTAATCACAAAAACCGCAAGTTAAATTTTGTTTTTTGTGCGGCCTTTAGACAGAAACAGTAACAGCTTAGAGCTAATGTTAGCTTTAAGCAGCGGTTTACCCAAAGTAAAAAGTAAAAAGTCGAGTCACCCTTCAGGAGAGACATGTCTAATACCTGTTAGGACAGCAAGGTAAATCTGAAAAAAATAACTAAAAACCAATTAATTTGTTCCAGCCCCCAGAAATATACTATTAATTAACTAAATTACAATTTCCCCCATCTAAACATTAAAACATAGAAAAAACAAATATATTGATAATAAAATAATGACAATTAAGAAAACGTTTTATATTATTGTTATAAAAATGGGTAAAATAACCCAGTGAGTGATGGGACAGCAAGACGTTGAGTGGAAAAATAGAGCTCGGTTGAGCACTCGTAACTAGACGTTCCCTGGTATCACGAGAAAAATCGTGCGAAGGTTTCTTACCCGTGTTTTGAGGAGCTCGTATCTTGAAGCCCCACTGTACCTGATTTTTTTTTTTCCTTGCCTGATTTGACCTGTCCTACTAACCAGAGTAAACAGAGTGAGCAGATGTTTGGTGGACGTAATGCGACACTGTTCCTGGACGCACTAAGAGGATTGCTTTAACAACACAGGCACGTGACGTGACAGGACTCGTCATACTGAGACACAACTCAGACTAAAGTTGTCCCGCTGATTTGAAGCTGAGTCTCAGCTGAGCCTGAGCTTTTTTAGAGATGAAGGTACAACAACGATACGACGAGGAACCAACTGTCAGGAGCTGTGTCCAGGCACCTGCTAACCGATTAGCCCGACAGAGTCAATCAAAGTCGGACAAAGGGGACTCTCCAAAATCTGAAGCAGATCAGAAACCGTGAACCCCAGGTTCATATATAGTTTTATGGAGTCTCATAAAGTGGTAGAGACTCATGTTGCATAGTATTTGTAAAGATATTTTGACTACATGAAGAGCTAAAATGCACCACTGAATATTACATTATGAACCTGAACAGCACTCTGCCTTCATTTTAATTTATTTCACTCAAGTATAATGTTTTTAATGTCAGGCGCAGCTCTCAGCCCGCTCCACCACAGCACCAGATCATGACATCTGACTCAGATAAAATTAGGAACAGTCTGGGAGTGGAGTGGACTGTGCTACCAAAACACGAGCGTTGGTGGTCAGAGTGTGGGCTGTGGGAGGGTCAGCCACTCCTTCCAAGATGATCTAGTAGTATAATTATGTTGTTGTCGTCAGCGTGCAGTGAGCAGGACACGTAGTGAGGGCCTGTGCTAAAACACAGACTGTTTTGATAATTACCTTTGTTGAATAACAGTGGAAGCCCTAGATATGAGTTTAATCCATATCCAATTGGGTAAAAAGTGAGGGACAGTGAGCGAGTTTCGGGGCCACTTTTTCAAATTCGGGTGTAAAAATGGATCATAACTAGATATTTCCTTGTATCAGGAGCAAAATCTTGTAATAGTTGCAGAGCAACATGGAATACTCGTATTTCGTGAAGCTCGTATTGAGGGGTTCCACTGTATAAAGAATCCAACACTGTTTACATCAGCTGAGATATTAGATGACGAGACTTCTCTGATCTGGTCCAAAGTGACTCAGAGTTGGTGTTTGCATGCTAAGAGACCTGGAGTGGTCCAACGTACTCATTAGCCAAACACTGACCACAGCCAACACTGAAAGACAGTCTTTCATCAAACTGCTGAGCTCACAGCCCTTCTCTGTTTACACTGCTGCTGTGACAGACTGAAAAATACTGTAGACCTCCCGGGCTACAACCTACTACTGTGACCATTATGACTGCCTGACAGACACAGGTCAATATGTAAAATCTGTGTCTATTCTTAAATGGTGCCTGACTGTGTTTTCCATCATTAATGCATCATGTGACAGCAGTAGATCTGTAGATAGAGAAGTCGTCGCTCAACTGCAGAGCTACAGGTTAGATTCCAGATTGTGTTAGTCTTCAGTTCATGCATTGTTCCAGTCCAAAATCTGGGGCTTGACTTGGGTTAAAGCACTATTTACTCAACCTAAAATTATCTGTTGTGACTTGAACCTATCTTGACTCATGACTTGACCTGGGGTCAAATCAATTTGCCTGTTCTGTGACTCAGACTCTGAGTCATAGTCCAGGGGAGTGGACATGGATTTCCTTCATTTGTGTAGATCAGGGTGTCAAACCCATTTTTTTCCACGAGCCGCATACAACCACAAATGTGGAACATTTGGCTAACAGGGAAGCAAACCCATCTGGTGACCACATGACCACGTGCTGACTGGCCAAAAACCAATCAGGACTGCTGGTAGTAGTAAACAGTAAAGATTAACAAAAACTGACTTACTGATTTGACAGTGCACTCCCTCAAAACTGGACTGACACTTGCAGATGTACTCGCTAAAAACGTCTCCTCGTCTGGTCGGAGTTATGACCTCACACAAGCCGTCATTCTTACAGGGGTTGGGGCTGCAGGGCCCTGAGACCAGAGGGACACAGAATGATGTCAGTGCATTTATTAGCTGTAGATTTGACTTTGATTTTCCATGGTCCTTACCTGTGTCTGTCAGGTTACAGGTGTCTCCACCAAAGCCGTCCACACAGATGCAGATGAACGGATCCTCCCCAACACCAGTCACACATGTCCCTCCATTTTGGCAAAAGTTGACTTCACAGTAATCACCTGAATAAATGAAATTAGAACAAAATACAAGATGCAAAACATTTTCAAACCAAAACATACCAATAAAACTAAGGATAAAATAATATTTAAAAAAACAGAATTGAACTCTGTTTAGTTAGCACAGCCAGGTGAACAGAAAGTGAGCAGAGCTTTGAGGAGAGCGGTCTCCAATAAACAAAGTGCGTATCATAACTAAAGCTGCACAGCTGATTGTGAAAAGTTGTGAAATGTGAAAAGTTACAGGTTATTGGATTACGTCAACGCTAGTTGTCATTTACAATTATTTGTATGCATAAGTATAAAATAATTTGCATTTGCACATGCTGGATTTAACAAAACAAATCTAATCTAACTTCCAAAAACAAATAGCTTGAAAATATTTTCCTGGGAAGAAAAAGATGGGAGCAGCAGTGCTGACTCACTCATCTCTGCTGCTGGATCAGGAAAAGAATGCACTGAAATCCAGAGGGAGTGTCATGGCACAGATGAGTCAAACTACAGTGTATTATATATTGGATTATATGCAGGTCCAAGCAGTCCGTTGACTTGTCAACCTCCACATTAGTCATTATTCAACATCTGTCCTGCCTGGACAACTGAGGCTGGAAACTCTGCTGCTTTTGATATGGGTGGTACAACAACACAGTTTTAAAATACACACATGAGCAACACTGTCGGGATAAAAACAAAAATATCAAAAACTTCAAAAGTCAAAAATTAGTGATAAAAAGTGAATTTAATTAATTAAACAAATGGTAATATTGTTTTATTGTCCATACAAAGCTGTTCAATCTCACTTGTGTTTTGTGAATGCAGCCACAGTATGGTACTGTATGAATCTCCACCAAAATAACACACAGCTGTGTAAGTGTGAAACACCAGTGTTTGTACAGGAAGTCACACACTGTAGCCAGTCTTAGTCACTGCAGGTTATGTGTACATTAGTCAGTTTACCGCTCTGTGTGGGACATGGTATCACTAACTGGTCAGAAATACCAGTTTGTACCTCCCTGGTAACGTTACAATGACCATGGTATCACTAACTGGTCAGAAATACTGTCATGGTAACGTTACAATGATGGCCAAGAGTGCGGCATGACCTCACCCTTTGTGTAGGTCAACTCATACTGTAATTTGGTTGATTCTGCCTGCGTTATTAGCACCAGAAAATAAGGAAGTATTTGTGTACTTGCTGTTTGCATTGTAACAAAACAAATCTTACAGTAATTCTCACTCCTGTCTTCATCCTCGATATTTAGATCACTCCAAACTGCTGACAATGTTGACCTTCAATAAACTACCCATGAGGCCGACTGAAGAAAACAGGTAAGTGACTCTCAGTTCGAACACCTCTTTTTCACATGCACATCTGCTGTTAACACAATAATTTCCCAAGTGTCTATCGATAAAGTTCAAATAATCAATTATTATTTCTAAGATTCACAAGATGAATTTATATCTTGAGTGAAAAAAGTTTGCTTGATTTTTTATTTAAATTGTGTGAACAACTAAAACAAAAACAACAAGAACAACACAACGTGTCTGACTGTGGGATTAAGAGCTTGCGGGATTAGCCAGGTTGCGGAGGAGCATGTGGCTCCTTCAGGAGGGAGTGGTTACACAACATGAGAGCTGGAGGACAACGCTCACCTGACTGAACGACAGGTGCACGGAGTGAAGCATTAGACTCTGAATATTTAAAACTATTATATGGACAAACTGGGATCCAGAGCTTTGCTCAGATTAAAATCGTGTAACGCTGCCACCTACAGCCAAACACTCAGGTATAGGTAGCTGTAGCAGCTGTCCACAAGGAGAAAAACAATGAAATGATAATGATAAAAGAAAAACATCTGTTTATTACAATCACTTTTGATAGATGACATCCTATCATCGTGTCAAGAAACCCATGTTTTACCAAAGGAGGTAGGAAAACTGCAAATGAAAATGTTGGCTTCTCTGTATTTCTGACTCATCTAAAAGATTTACTTTGACAGTTTGGAGGAACTGAAGCCAACCATGGTCTTTGGGAAAGTCATGTCAAACAAACTGCTATTTTTATTCTGAGAATGAATGAGCTGACAGCAAACTAGCATTTCTACTTTGTCCTGTGTAAATTAAACCATCAAAATAGCAGGTTTATTATTTATAATCCTGCATCCCATGGAGAAGAGCTTGGAAAAAACAGACTGTCACGTGTAATAACAGAGGAGCTTGTACTTAACTACTCATTTAAACCAGGTTGAAAAATCATGCTGATAGGAATGTTGATGGCTGAACAATATTTTTATTCCCCAAGGCTGGCATGGGTTAACCCAATAAGTACTGACTGGGGATTTTTTTTTTTTGGGGGGGGGTAATCTGAACTAATTAATAGAGTCATATTTACAACAAACAGTTTGTATTAATCTATTCAAAACAAAAACAAATGCATGCAAAGTGCATTTATACATAGCTCAATGTGCTAACAACAATAATGTTGTCAATCAAAATAATTTTGGTCAAATTCATCAGTGCACGACCCTGAACGCTAGTCAATTCTTTGAGGTGTGTGTTTTTTTAAATAAAATAAAATATATTGCAAAATAGCACCAGAATTTGTATTAGCACGATAAAAACATACGAGAAGAAGATTAAAAAAAAGAAGAATTAAAAGAAAATGAGAAATAAAGTCAAGGGAAATCTCAATAATGTTGTGCCTGACAAAGATTAAAAATAAACACTTACCTCTGACTGAGTGAAGGCAGAGTAAAAGTGCAGATGCTGCTACGAACGCAGTTATTACTTTTCCAGTTCGCGTCATGTTTTCAAACTCGTGTTTAAGTTTAAGCTCGTTGCCCTAAACTCTTGGCTGATGCTGTGTCAAAATGCTGAGGTGGAAAATAATGAGCTCAGCGTGAAGCAGCAGCGACGCGATGAATAGAAACGCTGAGATTTTTTTTCCACTGGAGGCGGCAGCGGCACTGATCTGTGACGTCATGTCGTGGGCGGAGCAATATCACTGGAACCTGCGGAAGTTTGGTTTGCATTCACGATATCGTCTTCGATGTTCTGTTCAGTAAACTTGACATTTACCGACTGTCGAAGTAAATGAAAATGGACCTAATTAAAAAATAAAATTTAAATTTATCTTATTTATCAAAACGTTAATTACTCCTACGATCTACCTGCAGAAAATATTGACGGGAGTCGAGGGAAAGCCCGTGCTGTGGGAGACACTGCTCAGGGCCAATACAGTGTGCAACTTTATCGCCATCAAGTGGACATTTCAGTCAGTGCATCACACCCTTTTATTTTAACAACACGAGATAACGTTCCTAAAATGATTTGGATTATGTTTAATTTTATACGGGCTTAGCTTCGGTCTGGGGTTAATCTCGACAGACTAGATTTATCTTCTTAAATGTTAGGTTAAATAAACTACCACGTATGTGGCAAATGAAGTTAATTACTTTTTTTATTTAAGAAGGAGGAGTGTGGACGAATATTCGGTCAGTTCTTTCTTGTTTTTGTTTTACCCCTTATGACTGATGTTGGAATAATATTTGAAAGATTTAAATATTGTATTGTACGGCGTTTGTCTATTGCTTTGTCGAACAGGTGAAAAAAAACTATATGTATTTTTCATACAAGTAGTTATAATGGAACATCATCTCCCTATGAGGGTGAGATAAGACTTCCTTCAGAAAACTTACACTGTAAGCTACGACAAACACAATGTCGTCCAGATTAAAAATGTATGTATAGTAATGTACGTGTGTTAGCAGAAAAAGTAAATAACTTAAAAAAACAATTTAGTAGTAATGTATACAGACCGATTTCATTAAAAAAAATGTAACAGGTCTGAGATTGGGAGCCAGTGACTTAAAGTGACGTAAGCCGACGTTGACAGGGTCGTCATCAGTTTGGGCCAATCAAAGAGCTGGTATGTAAATTAAAAATACGCTATAGGAAGTGCAGGGAGATGACTGACAAACCTCCAGAGCTACTGCTGCTGCTACTGCTGCTGTTAGCTTCAGATTCACTGAGTCACACGGCTTTCACTCAACCGAAATATCATCAACAAAATGTCACAAATATATTAGAGGAAACTCCAGCATCGGGGAGCGGATTATTTTTCCTCACAGCTCAAGTAAGTTAGTTAAAAAAAATAAATCCTTATCCCATCTGTATGAAGATGAGATGTCTGTGCTCGGGTGATGATGTCTCGTCGGATTAATCGCTATAGCATAATAACAATAACATTGTTATTAGAAATTATAAAAACAATAATAAGGGTAAAATTTGCTCTCAAAGACAGCAAAACAGGAACCTTTCGGACAGGAATAGGACAAATACGGTCAGCAAATTCAGAACACAAGTCCAAAATATACGCACATTTACAACGATGCAAAATTAAATTAAACCAAACGTAGATGTGTATTGTACATTGTGTATATGCAGCGTATGATGGAGTAAATATATATGCAAACATTATCAGGTGAAATATGAACAAAAGAGTTCAATTAAAAATTACAACAGCTTACATAAGCACTTAAGAATTGAAGTGTTAGCTATAGGTTGCACAAAAGATTTTCCAGTAGAGTTAGTTTTGAAACCGTAAAGTGTTGCTGACAGTGTCTTCGTGTAATTACGCCGTATTAATAGATGTGATGGCTCTATTTTGACTATG